CAGCGACATCATAAACGTTACAATTTACCGCATTTCGTAATTAGAATATTCTTGGTAGGCTTGCCGGTCTGATCGCCGTATGTAGATATCTTCTCCACTAGTTCCAATCCCTCGACAACGTGACCGAAGATTCCAGTAAAGCCGCGCATCTCCTGCAGGATTATGCGAAATTGCGAGCCGACCATGCCGAGGTTGTCGTGCCGTTTTTGCGTCCGCCTCATACCCACCGCGCCCCTAACCGCCGGGAACTTGGTATCGTCCGGCATGAAATAACCGTCGTCAAATATGCTGCGTCCACCGCGGCCGTTGTTAAGCTCGAAATCACCTGTGATCACGGACTCGCCTTCCCAACACTGGAATATCGTACATCCCTTGTACCCGAATCCGATCTCTCCCGTTGACAGCACGCTGAAGTTCTTGGCCATCTTCGGCGCCGCATCTGGTCGCACTTCGATCACGATGCGCCCGTGCGGTGAACCATTCACCTCGATGTTGAAGTAGTACAGAGGATACGGATTCGCAGGACCTCGCGTCAACGTCGCCGTTATCGCATTGGACGGCGGTTGCGGGGACGAGTGGACGGTCACTAGACTACCGCCACCGGCGCCAGTGCCGACCGCGTCAGACATGAACGTTGACTGTTGCTGCGGATGCAACATGGCATTAGGCGGTGCAGGTGGTACGGGTTTAACGGACGGTGAACCGGGTGGAATGAGAAGTTGCTGGGGAGCTTGGTTAGGTGGTGGCGCTGGTGGACCCTGATGAACGTGAACGGATGGCGCTTGTTGAGGCGGTGGCATCATACTTGAATGATGATATTCCATCGAGCCATTCTGCATGTGCTGTTGCTTACTAACAACGTGACGCGTGTACAACTGCGACATGCAATAATTCGCGAGGAACAAAATCGGATTATGCGAAGCCGCAAGATGATTCGGTAAGCGACCGCCATTCCCTTGAGGAACAATTGGATCTCCCGTGTGTATTCCCGCCAATGCCTGCTTTAGCAAGGCGAAGTCAAATATCACTCCAGAGTTGCCGATGAGATCATCTAGTTGACACTGTAACATCATCTCTTGATATTTCGACTGCAATCTTTGTTTCTCGAGAATTAACTGCGAGTGTAGACTGTAGACATCACCCGGAGTCTCGCTCATCTGCAGACCAGCCCTCGTCTTGCCTAGAGTCTCGCGCGCGTCCGTTATCTCGGGAAAGTGACTCCAGCCATTTTGCAGATCCGTCTCTACATGCGTTTTTAACGTCACACACGCCTCCAGCACCTTTATCAGAAACTCGCGTTGCTGCACGGCCAGTCTTTGAATCTCCGTCGACAGTTTACCCACGGTGACTAATTCCAGTTGAACCTACAAACGCGTTTTGACGTCATTAGTTTTCTCTCTCGCTTAGTTTTTATCGTGAAATAAATAAAACAAATAATAAGGGACTTACGTCGGATATGAGCTGTTCTTTGGCATCGGTTTGCGATTTGATCTGATGACCCGGGTGATCCTGTGGGCTCGCGCACGCCCTACAAAGCGCCGTGCAACATGTCGCACACCACAATGCTAGCGGCATTCCGTGTGTGTGACAGTTCTCGCTCTGCGAAAATATTTAAGCGTTATCGATTCACGAAGAGAAACCATCCACGTGTTTACACGATAAACACGAAAGTTCACGACCCGCCGAAAGGAAGTATTGCAATATGAAATTGTCACATTCCTCCTAGGGACATCTCGAGATCATTTTAAGGGATTAGATGTATAAAATTACTGCAAATTCGGAAATGTTTGTCCGCACTTGGAAGGGGAGAAAAAAAGAGGAGTGATGACATTCTTACATCATCCTATTAACGGTCCCGGGACCATTCCTTCTCGATATGGCTTCATACGCGCGTCTTGCGTCTCGTTTTTTCAGTTACTCCGTCCCTCTCGATAAAAACTCACCGCATGCTATATATTGTGGCGGCCGAATAATTTGTTGTCATCCACGCGGTTCAATTTTATTATATTTGATAGATGTTCATTTCTACCAAAAGTTAATACCAATGTAGATTAACTTTGATCTCGATTTAAACATACTTTTTATTCTTTTTCTTGTTCTTGGATTAACTTCTATCTTGGTTCAACTTGCTCTTTATTTTTTTTTATTCTTAGAACTTTTTAATTTTTAGAAAAAGATGAAGAGTTAGTTGAATTGACATTAAAATGATTAAACTTAATATACATTGGTAGAAACGTATTAAAAAAAGATGAAAAGTAAGCTAAATCGATATGACAATTAATCTACACTGAAATGGATAAGAGACATCTCGACGTATTTTGAATTTAAACAAATCGTATGAGAAAATCGCTTTACTCCAATTATGTTTCATCTTGATGACAGCACTGATGATGCAATTTTCTTGTTTTATTTTTTCAAAATCAAATATATGTACATCCAAGATACTTTTCGTATCGTTTCCGAATAGATAATCGCAACAGGTCATGCTACTCTTTTACAATAGTCATCTTATCTAATTATATTTGAAGTGAACTTTTCATGCATTTTGGTTTCTATTCGTTCTCAGTATATTATCGCCAAATATTTCAAGCGTATATAATAAATAAATATCGAGTCGACCGATGAGATTTCAAGGAAAAGGACATCACTACACAGAAAAAAATGTTTGGTTAAATTCTGTAATTCAGGTAAAAAAGAATTTTGGTTAAGCTTACTATATTTCTGATTAAATCTACTAAAATGTTGTTATTTTAACTAGAATTTTAATAGATTAATCAGAAATCTTGTAGATTGAATTAGAATTCTGGATCGTTCATTTTTTCCATCAGAATTCTAGTTAACTCAACCAAACATTTTTTTTCTATATAGGAAAAAAAAGCCAGACAATTACCTTCCTCTCCTTGTCAGGTTTGCCGGACGTATTGTTTGTCGTGATCTTGAGACGCGACAAATTGTTGGCCAAGGCAAGTAGAGCAGAGTGAGTCGGTAAAGCGTCCGCGCCTTGGTTACCCAAATCCGTCGTTTTCCAGCAATGCGCGCACTGCAGATCGCGTCCCTTCAGCAGATTGCTCTCGATGCACCGTAGGCAGAAATAATGCTTGCAGCTAAGATATTTGGGGCATTGCTCTACGTCATTGTACTTCTGCTTGCAGCAACCGCAAAGCGTCAGCTCCTCCAGGTCCGTTAATACGCTCGGATCCAGCATCTGAAAGCGTAACCACACACGTACACGTGCGTATCCTCCTACGCAATTTCACAAACATACGCGGAAACACATACACACAACACACATGCGTAAAGCCCTTTCTTCTTTATCCTCCCTATTATTAGAACGATGAAATCAACGAAATCAACAAAATCAAATTTTTCATTGAATTAAACTGCGATTAAGTTAAAAGATAAGAAACGTCTGCCGCAACTCGTCAACTATTCCCGTTTACGTCATCGTCAAAATGTTATCCATCGTTTTTCCATTCACATTCTGCTCAGTTTATTCCGGAAGAGAGATTTACCTGTTTGAGTAACATCGCGCCACGAATTGCGAGGCGTCAGTTTACGTGTCCCTGAAACAGATCGCGACGTTTAATCGCGCTGATGCCGCTTTCGCCACTAGGAAGGATATCGCGAATTTTCTCTTTCACAGATATAACGCGGCTCTCGACTGATTCTAGATAGAAAAACGAAAGAATCGCGCACGTCTTACAGAGAGCGAAGCTGCCTTTGGCAAAACCAACCAACTTCGATAACGCGTGTCACGCAAGGCACTGCCGATTCACGCGGGAAAGGAGTCTTGTAAAAGGTCACGCCGTCAACCGCGTATGTAAACAAAACACTCGGTACTGTCTGTCGTTCTCTCTCTCTCTTTCTCTCTTCTGCCGCTGCGCACCGTTCTCTGTTCCGCTTTGTAGTCTATCACATCGCTTTTCTCGCGCGGAATCCTTCTCTAACTACGTGGTTTCCACGCGCCGACTCGACCGTAGACTCGTCTGCCGTTCCGTCGTCGCCGTGGACTTTCCCGGTTTCAAGAACGCGCGACGCGAAACCGCCGCCGCCGTCATGTCGGCCTATATTCCTTGACCCATATAGCACCTCGTGCGTCATCGAGTCATCGACGTTTTCCCCGTTAACAAATGTGTATCTCTCTCTCTCTCTCTCTCTCTCTCTCTCTCTCTCTCTCTCTCTCTCTCTCTCTTTCGTATGCGCACGGATACAAACGTCTCTCACGATATTGTTTACGTCTTTACGTTGACGACTGGTCCACTCGTCCGTTTTGCTCGCCTTAAAGCCTTCAATGCGCGATTCGGAGGAATCGATACGCCGCTATGTCGTTGTCGTCGTCGTCGTCGTCGTCGTCGCACACGTGACGACGGGTAAACACACTCACCGCGCGAGTTCGATTCGTGTCCGGGATATTTGAAAGGCGGGAAAGCTCGACCGACGACTTGAACTCGCCCGCTGATGCCGCTCGCCCTTAACCCTTCTCTTCCCTTTACGTCCCTTCCTCGTCGCCTCGATCACCTTGACCGTGCGCTCTCGGAGAATTTTCGTGTCGTAAGTGTCGTATAATGTAAATTACGGTACGCAACACGTGTGTGATAACACACTGCTGAACACGATTATAAAATTATGTCTCAAAACATATCGCCTGTGTTCTAATAGGTAATTGATGGCGACGACACTTATCTCTATGTCCAATTTCAATATTTATAAAACGAGCTATTTTATTAATTTCCATAACCATCGATGTTCCCTTTGTTCTACAGATAAGAAATTAAGCGAGAATGATTTTTTTTTAATTATTTTGAATAGTGTACTGAAAAAAAAAATAGTTTTAATAAATAAATTTTAATAAATACTTAGTTTAATACTACCAACTAAATATTTACAGTAGGTAAATATTTGTTCAATAAAAAAATGTGATTATTAAATCAAATTAACATTTCTTGTATCAAATAAATATATCTTTATATTTCATAAATATTTAGTTGGCAGTATTCAACTAAATATTTATTAAAATTGACTATATTTTTTTGCAGTGTGCGCATTGCGATGTGATCATTGGAAACGTCGGATTTGATTTTTTTCGAATTTAGGTCGCATTTCTGTTGATATAGATTAATTTTAATTCTGGTTTTATTTACTCTTTTTATTTTTTTCTAATGCACGTTCCTACGAGTGTAATTTAATTTTAAGAATTAGAAAAAGATGAAGAGTTAGTTGAACCGAGATTAAAGTTAATCTACATTAATAGAAACGGACATAATTCTTAGAAGATTGAAAAGTTAACCGATTAAAGTTAATCTACATTGATAGAAATAGACATTGGACTTTTTTTCGTTTAATCATCTCTCGGTTTTCGCTAATTTTACTTGATAATAGAGGAAGCCTAATCAAACAGATCTCTGCTGATCCTGCTGATCTTTGAACGCGCACTCAAAGACAGTAAGATATGATTCTCATTGGAAACTCGGTGTCGACAATAATAAACGCTAATTAAATCTTACTTCCGGCGAAACACTTTAACCTAAGAATATAAACCTTTAGACGGAACCACTCGATGCTTCAAGTCAATATCTCTCTAATCTTTAATATTCCGATTTTCCCTTTCTGCTCGTATAAATAGAACTGTTCTTCATTAACTGCAAAACTTGCACATTTCATTTTTTCTCACAATATAAAAATAGAATGTTTTATTACGCACAATGATGCGATCGAATATAATTTTGGAGCAAATTTCTTATTGATTATAAATTTCTAATAGCAGCTTTATATTGTAATTGCGGTTTTTTGGGCAAATTTTCTAATTGACTACGCGGGAGTGAAACATTTGTATTCTTCATTCATGTTGGAAAAAAAAGTGCAAGAAATTTAAAAAAAAAAGTCTATATTATCTCGAAAAATATTACAAGGGACCGAATCACTCTTTTCCGAATGAAACTTGTTAAGGGCAGAAGCACAGAGTCTTGCATAGAAAAATGGACAATCAAAATCCTTCATTTCTTTTCTTTCTATGAAATAAAAAGTTCCGGTCTGTGTTCCGGTTTTAACGGGAGCCGTACTGACAATCTTCCGTAAAAGTTTTCGGAGTCTCACTTCAGAGACGTGGTATTCACAGCCGTTCCCGAGCGCGTTTGTGTAAACATACACGCGAATGTGTAAATAAGAGACTCGTTCTTCGAAAAGCAACAATCTACGACACCACTCTCCATAGCGAAAAGTAACCATCTAAAGATTCCCGAGTAGAACACAGTCATAATTAAGTCACAATATCAAACGATATCATTTGATACTAAAAAATGAATTTATAAACACAAGTAAGGTGACAAGTAAGGTGATGATGATGTCCTCACATTAGTACGATTTATGTGTTTTACTTGAATTTTTCATTCTTTTGGAGCAAGATTGATTTCAAACAATTTAGAGAGAACCCACGTACTTTAGATTCAGCAAACTACGAGATCGCGCATAACGATGTCATTGACGAAGACCAAGACGACAATGACGACGACAACGATGATGATCCCGGGGTTACCAGACGCGCGCTTGCCATGTTTCGCGGAGTATCTAGGCGCGTGCGGGTGAAACTCACGAGAAAGAAGGTTAGGTAGATTCTCAGTATCCGGCACGATATCAGCGGCGATAGATAAGTCATTATGCAATGAAAGATCTCCGAGAGAAGCCACTGACAAAGTTCGTTCGCTCGCGCGCGTGTGAGAGAAAGAGAACGACACTCGGCGCATGCGCCGAAAATCCCGCCAAAACCGTCGCGGGGAGATTTCGTGGAGCACGGGACTGGCCATTCCTCGAGCGCGACGTCGCGCCTCTCGCGCGCGCTAAATGCAGGGTAGGAGGAGGACGAGGAGGAGGAGGAGGAGGAGGAGGAGGAGGAGGACGGGAGCGTGGAAGTAGGGACAAAGCGGTCGCGGGGAGGAGGGACGAGTCCTCGGATCGGAGGCGCCGGAGAACGGGTGGACGGGGTGGAGGAGGAGGAAGAACGTATCGAGTATTTAGAGAGGCATTTCCTCACGACTGCTCACGACGTCTGGGCACTACAACGTCGCGTTGTAAATCGTAATCGTCGACGAGACACCGCAACTACCGCGAGGCCGCCGCCGTCAAGCACTCAGCAGCGATTGGTAAACTGAGAGGCGCCAGTTCACGTAGTCTCCCCTACGTAAACTAGTAACTACGGCGGATACATCGTCGAGTTTACCTATACCAGCCGCCGGATAATCAACCCTCTGCCGATTGTGACTCGCGGCGAGCCACGAACACGCGGATCGAAAACCGCTCTCAGACTACTACTGCGTGTCAGACGGATTCCGCGCGCGGGAATGTTATGCGCGCGCTCCGTCTGTCTCGCTCTTCCCCCTGTCTCCGGGTGTGCGCGCGCGCATGCTACGATATATATATATACTCTATGTACACACACATACACACATACTTTCTCTCTCTTTCGGTTCGCGCGTCCATCTCCGTCTCTTCTTCGCATACACATACGTACAGCCGCTCGACACACTTACACACATGTTCAGACGCTCCGATTTTCTCCCGCTCTCTCTCTCTCTCTCTCTCTCTCTCTCTCTCTCTCTCTCTCTCTCTCTCTCTCTCTCTCTCTTTCTCTCCTTCCCCGTTCGACTATACGGCAGGATTCTACAAATGCTTCCGTACCGTGTATACGTCTCGCAAACGTCTCCCCTGCCGCGTTATGGAGGCTGACCGTTGGCACTCGTCACTCGCGGCGCGTGCCGCGACGATGCTCACTGTACGACGTACGCTTGATTCGGCAACTTTGATTTACATCGGGCCTAACGTCGCGCCGCGCGCGGTTTCGCTCGCACCGAACAACAACCACCACCACTACTACCACTACAAGAGAACAATCACCACCACCACCGCTAACACCGCCGCAGCCGCCGCTGTCGTGTCGTCTTCGTCGTCGTTATCGTTGTCGTCCTCGTCGCCGCCGTTACTGTCGTTGTCGTTGTCGTCGTCGTAGTCGTCGTCGTTTATGCAGGTTTCTCTACTTTATTTCTCTCTTTACTCTATAATCCGTATACGTATATTCCCTCTCTCTTTCTCTTTCTCTCTACGGTGGCGTGTGTATGTATATATACTTTTTTTTTGTACTTTTCGCGTTACGTGTTTATACGTGTTTATCGAACGTCGTGAGTGTTACTGTGAATAACATAACGACGGCGTGCCGGTTAATGCGGCGTGGCTACGGGCCTTTGCTCATACGAACGTTCTGCCACATCATGATGTTTAGTTCACTAAACTAACCACTAGCATGGCGACCGACCGACCGACCAACCGACCGACCGACACACACCGCGGCGCGCGCTCGTCGCTTACGCGCTTCTCGTCGCTTCCTCTCCCGCCCCCTTTTTCCTCTTCGTCGTACTGCGACTCGGTTCTCTTCGTTTCTTTCCGTCACGGTCCGTCGTACTCTCTCCCCTACCCCGCTTCGTCGCTAACTAATCACTCTTCTTCGCCGCCGTCGTCGCCATGATCGCGCTGTCGTCGTTGTCGTCGTCGTGTCCACTTTGTTCCCTCATCGTGTGCGTGGCAATTGGCCACGTGACAACAATGTCACCAATCACGTGCGTGCGTCTTCGCGCCGCATTGTGGAGGAGTGAACTTGCCTTTAGCGGGAATGCAAGCCGTGATAAATATCATAGAAAAAAATATAATTAAATTATTATGCGCGATGATCCACAAAATAATTTTCTTAACAAGTAGTCTAAGGAGGATGTTAAAAAAGAAGCCGATTTTTGTCCATATGAACATGAAATATTTGAACAAATTTCAATATTTTTACTTTTCAAGATGTTCCCCAAATATTATGAACTTTTTAATAATTTTATTATATTCAGGAAGTCAAAAGCAACAAAAACTATTTCTTTTACATTCTTTTAGACAAAAATCGAACCTTTTTTAATATTCTTCAAAAAGGGCAGATTTTTTAAAAATTATTAAAATTATTAAATGTTCGTGATATTTGGGGAACACCTTGAAAAGTATGTATAAAAATATTGAAATTTGTTGAAATACATCATGTCATGCTCAATTTTCAAGATTCCTTATTGATCTCGAATTTTTTATTAATGTTATTCAGAAAGTCAAAATCTACAAAAAAAACACTATTGCTTTTACTTACACCTTTATGGACATAAATCGGCTCTTTTTAACATCCTCCTTCAATGACTCCATCAGGATTCAGCTTGTGTTTCTTGAAATGAGATGAAAATTACAAAAGTGAGCAGATTTATATGTTAATCAATAAAATTAATATTCTTATAAATTCACTCACTTTTATCATTTTTATCTTGTTTCTAGATACACAATTGACCCTCTAATGCATAGATAATTGAAAGTATTAAATTCTAAACTGCAAAAGTTAATAAAGAAAAAAAAGGTTATTCATCTATGCAGATCAAAATTGTATTCCTAATAAAATGCCATATTTACTTAGAGATTACTATATGCTGTTTTCTGTGTGATTCTTTTATTCATTGAAACAGTATTGATTGAATACGATTTTTATAACGTGAACATGTTTTTTTTTTCTTTAGGAGAAAGATACGTATGGAAACGAAGTAACAAGATTAGCAAGACCTTTGCCAGTAGAATATTTATTGGTAGATGTACCTGCATCCACCCCACTTACTCCACAGTTCACCTTTTTCACGGATGATAACATTACTCCATTTCCAGTGGAGAACAGGTATTATAGACAAATACATATTGTATATAAATGAGTACAGTTAATAAAAGTATTCATATAAACATCTTTATTTCAGGCAGGTCGATGGACAAGTTCAGGAATTCAATTCATTGTGCACTTACATGCAACAATTTAACAGCGATCAATTTCTGGAGGCAACTTCTGATTTTCACTTGCTCCTTTTCATCGCTACTATGGACATGTATCCAATGAAGGTATGATTTCTTGCTTTGATTTTTCTATCTATAAAGTAGCAATATATTTAGTTACTTCAATTTATTATTCAATTATCTCGATTATCTGTTCATATTTTTGTTACAGTGAAATTTTTATACTTAAGATTTTCTTGTACATACATACATATGAGACTAAAAATGCCTTTTTACGCTAATGCTTGATGCTCATTTTTAATAAAATAGATCAAATGATCAAAATTGACTTTTGATATTCAAGTTTTATTACGTGATCTCTTTTGCTCTCTGAGCAGTTCAAGCTGAGTTAGTTAAAAATGAGCGTCAAGCGTATGAAAAGTCAGATTTAGAATTGAATCTTTTTAGAATTGAGTCTTTTGTTTAAAACAACTGCTCTACTATTGAGTTCTGCTATATAATGCTCCAATAATTGTCGATAATTATTAACAAATATGTATTTTGTTTTACAGGACCATATGTTGCCACTGCTCGAAGCTATCCGTAACAAGGACAAGCAGAAAGCATTGGAGTGGGCCCAATCGGAGCATTGGGCGACAGTGGAGCAACTGATATCTGTGACCTCCACATCATCGCGTCCTCCGCAAATGTCATCTTTTGGTAACAGCTCAAGGACATTGCCTTCTGTAATCGCAGAAGGCAGTGGAGGAATAGGCGTCGGTACCGAGCCGATTGCGAATCCACCACCCGACCAAGCTCTCTGGACCTGTTCTCATTGCACTTTTCTCAATGCCGCGGATTTAGCAGTTTGCGAGATGTGCAATCTGCCAAGGTACTCGTAATAAACTGTTAAAGCACTAACGATGAATTCAGTGTGCGTTTAAGGGGTGCTGTCTTTGAATCTACTACTTCGCTTCCGCAGGATCTGACGCGTAACGTGTCCTCGCGGATATAACGATTGTTTTCTACGCATCTTTGGCCTTATTTATGAGTGAATAAAAAAAGGAAGAAAAAAACACCACTCAAGTATTTTCCAACTGACATATTTCCTCCCTACCAAGCTTCTCCTTATGATACACTTTTTTTGTATCTGCAACCAGTTTACAACAGTCTGATTTAGATGGCCTAAATATTAATCCTAACAGAATGTTCTGTGAAGTTCTGACTTATAAATTAATTCTAAACAGATCAATGATATTTATTATGAATTTTTTATATGTTTGCAGAGAAGATGTCGAAGAATATGATGAAGAGATGATGAGGGAATTGTTTTAATAACAATCATGAGTTCAAAAGTTCGGTTGAGCCTAATGATGCTACAATGTTAGAAATTTACGTCAATATTTTGATATTAGAAAAATTAAAATCGCATCTATTGCTGATCATTATATATTTTCCATATATATATTATATACATAATATTTTTTCACAAATATTTAATTGTTATTGATACGAGAAACACGTATGTAATATTTTCCAAAATAATTCATAAAAAAACTGGTTATTGTTATATATATATGTATGGATTAGCAGGGTACATAATTAACTGATAAAAAGAAATTAAAGCATGTAGGTTGTTCACATATATTATACATATCCATCGTTTACTTAAATTATATTCCAAATAAAATTTTTCTTATTGTTAATAATAATTAATCTGTATTGGCATATTGTCAACTCTTCTGTTCATATTGTTCATATGATATACGCCTTCCTCTATTTCGATTCTTTGGTGGAAATAATGTAGAGCCACTAATCTTCGAAACAATAGTATCAAGAATATTAGAATTCTGCTGTTCGATAATGGTGATAGCGTAAGTTTCTTTAACAAGATTTTCATCTGTAAACTTCTTCAGGTTTGAAATAGATACTTTGTCTCCCTTAACATTTTCTGAGACCTTCTCCAGCATGCCTTTTTCCTCACCATCCTTGTGTATCACTATCATCAGAAGATTTTTAACATCGTCACTAAGACCAAACTCATCCAAGGCACAAACTATGCTATTTGATAAAGACATGCTAAATAAGACTTCAGTATTTATGTTTTTTGTAACCAGTTGATTTCGTGTAGCGTTGAGGGCGGCTTTGTTGGCAGCCACCACCGCTTGAAAAGTATCTACAATAGTTGCGACATTTATCATGCAACAAT